CTCTCAACAAAAGCATTTATATCCATAGGGCTTCTTTCTGCAGCCCTATGTATACCAATATCATGTCTGCAGATCCTGTTTCGTGTGCCTCATTGCCTACCATCCTAAACAATTGTTTGCCTAAGGTTTAAAAATACTCGCATTACAAGATGATACAATGCAGTCCTAAACACTACTACTTAATTGCATCATTAAAAGAATCAAATTAGGAGTATTCCCTTTCAGGCTTGTAATGCAACCTCTATTTTATGCTATTAAATTCTAGAGCTACTGAGTATATGGATTTCAAATAAAAGAACTTGAGCATTAGTTTCTTTAGGATTAATATAAAAATATCATACACATCCATACTGAAACTCAGGAACTGACTTCCCCCGAGCTATTAATTCCAGATGCTGTACTTTTCAGGTACCAGCTGTACTGCTTCCAGATCTCAGAACCCACAGATCACATGATGACTTTGCATTTCTCACAATTTGGAGGAAATGGTGACTAACCAGCCTAGCTTTAAGTTTAATTCAGATATTGGATTAAAATTAGAAGTTGGATAGAAGAGATAATTGGCTATAATGTGGATTGGAAACCAGAAATGTTTTTACTGGGAATATTGAACAGAATTTACAGTAAAGAAATTAGATATTTGATTCTGCATATAATTACAGCGGCAAGGATAGTCTACGCACAGTCCTGGAAAAGTGAAAAGATCCCAACAGAGGAAGAAATAATTAAGAAAATCCTGGACTGTGCGAAGATGGATAAATTAACGAAAGAAATAAAAGAAAAGGAAGATATAGAATATTATCAAGTATGGACTAAATGGTATGATTGGCTCGAGATTAGGGAAAGTAAATGTGAATAAACAATGGAGAGAAGAAGGTGACAAATGTGCAAAATATTGTAAATGAAGAAAATTAAAAATCAAGGGACGATAAAGATAATGATAATAAAGGATGGGAAAAATAGGGAATGTATATAGTAGAAAGTAAGAGGAACGAAACTGATATGCAAAAAGAAATACATATCATGTGTTTGTGTTTTGTATGTTGTGTTGTGATGTGTTGTGTTGTGGTAAAACCAATAAAAAAATTTTAAAAAGTAAAAAAAAAAAGTTTAATTCAGAGTTGTTTAGGAAACCAAAGAAAACAGAGGTTTGGAACAGAATGCAGATGGATTTTGTCACTGGCATACCGAAGTACTGAAAATTATTTTAACTACATTGCAGTCTTTTGGATTTCTGCTAATAAAAAACATAAATAATAAGGTCAAGCAAAATATATTTCATCTAGGATTGGTATTACGTGTTAAAACATGCCCTACCTTAGTTGTTTTTTCATCAACATTAGTAAGAACATTTTGGAAATGAGAAACATGCTACAAAGAAAGGATGCAGTGAAAGTATTTCACACTTCTTCTGTTAAACACTTTTTCTGTTAAATGTAAAGCTGGGCCCCTTACAAAGTGGAGGAGCTACTGTTGTGTAATTACCTAGGATTGGAGCATTAAGGGACAGAGAAGTACCAGTCCTTAAAATAGGATTCACCAAAGGTTGTCTTTGTTCTTTTTGAGAACTGTTAAATGTCATTGGAAAAATATGGGAGTGTTAGAAACTTGGCAAGAGGAAGAGAGTTGCATTTTGAAGGTTTTGATAAGAAACATACTTGAGTGTGCTGAAGCAGATAGGGCTTATCAATATAGGAAAGCTGAACTGAGAAGCCTGGCTAAAATAGCCATATAGATTTCTTTGTATACTATAAAAACGAGGCTATAAATGAAGAATTCCATTGGCAGTATGCATTTTTAACTCAATACACAACTAAGAAGCATCATCTCATTGGTTTCATCTATTCTGCACCTAGAGCAGGGGTATCAAACTCAGTTTCATTGAGGGCCACATCAGGGTTGTGTTTGACCTTGGGGGGCAAGGGGGTGTGGCCAGAGTGGGTGTGGCCAGCTCAACATCACTCATGTCGGGAGCGCCTGTGGTGGCCCGAGCGCTCTGCCAGTGAAAACTGGCTCCCAAGCTCTCTTTTTGGCCATGACGGGCTCCTGCAACCTTCTGCCAGCAAAAATGGAGTTCGGGAGGGCCGATGGAGAGCTCCATTTTCGCTGGCAGAGGCACTGTGGGCCAGTCCTTCACTGTTTCCAAGTCAGCTCCACAAGCCAGATCTAAGCACCCAGGTGGCCGGATCTGGCCTGTGGGCCTTGAGTTTGAGACCCCTGACCTAGAGCAACCACAGAGCATAGAACACCTTTTTTTCTTCAAGCCAATTATAGCCTATGGGACAGGGATAAGTCTTCATTCTACTGAAACTCAACCTCGCATCTTAATAGGAGAAGTGTCACAAATTTGATACTGTAAAGTATTTTTATTCACACATGTAGGAATACACACAGACACAAAGAAGATCTGCTTATAGGTAGACCTATAGGTAGACCTTGTTTAACGACTGACCTATTTAATCACCATTCAAATTTATGACAACACTGAAAAAGTACCTTTACAACAGGGCCACAATTTACAACCATCACAGCATCCCCACAGTCATATGATTGCCATTCAGGTGCTTCACAATTGGTGTCTGTTTATCACCATTGCAGCATCTTATGGTCACATGATTGCTATTTGTGAATTTCACACCTGGATTCCAACAAGCAGAGTCAATGGAGAAGCAGTAAAATTGCAGGTTACGGTTGTGTAATATCTCACTTAACAACCGCAGGTGATTCTCTCAACAACTGCAGCAAAAGTGACTTAAGTCCATCACCATCACATTTTGCTTAGTAATCAAATTGCTTAACGTGTGTGTGTGTGTATGCCCAGAGTTAAACCCTAAGTCTTTTCCATCTGCTCCTTCCAGTGAAAGGACTTTACGTCACTTGTTTCCCAACCTTGAGATTGCAATGCCCTTATATTTGATGTTACGCAATGGTTCTATCTGGCCTGAGCAGCTGATTTAAGTCTTTACAAGAGAATGAGACTCAAATATGCAGGAAAATCACCAAACTGCTAACCGTTACCCAGCAATTTCATCCATATATTTAATACCCGACAAAAAAGTTGTTGTGGCATTTACTTACAATTCTTTACTACTTCATCCTTCCTTTATTCTTTATCCAGGCAGCTAATAGGGACAATAGCAAGAGTGTTTTCCACTCCGTGTTATAAAAACTGCAGACTGATCTTTCAGCACAGTGCCTAGCATGAACACATATGCATGTTATGTGTTTATATATGTATTTAATTTATATGCTGCTTGATTCCCAATGGCTCTGATGGCATTCTTCTGTAACATTGCCTCCTTTAGTTTTCCAGCAGAACTCCTATGTCTTTTACACTTCTTGCTAGTTATGTAGCATCCTAAGCCTATAAGAGAGTAAAGAAAGAAATTGCAACTGTTGTTCTGCTGTCCACTATGCAGCTTTCAAAAGCATTCTCTATCTCAAATAAAGCTTGGATTGTTTCTGCTATTTTCCGTGTCTTTGAAAGGATAAATAGATAGAGGTGACTCCATCCAGCTTCCTCATCTATCTTACTTCAGGGATTCTCATGCAGGGGCTCACTGTCATGAACCCAATAAACAAGAATTCATGTTTGCTACTGCAGACATTGCAGTAAACCATTGTTTTTTAATCATGGGCTTTTGAATAAGCCTTAGCCAGATTCACACAATACATTAATCTATAAATCATTGTTTACAAGTTACAAGAGTTGGGTTCATGAAGCATGCTCCACTGAAACCAAACAACCACATTATTTAAGCAAGATGCTCATTATGATTAAGCCTATATGTTTGGTTTGTGTCTCATTTATAAAGTTGTTGGGTTTTTTTGGTTCCTTGTTGACTAAAGAAAACCTGCCCAGGGTTTTATTGTTCTTGTCTCTTTGTTAAATTTTGACTATACATTATGTATTATACAGCTAAAATCAACTCCATCCAGAGAAATTTCTATGATCAGACACAATATTTGTATCATTTAGATCTGATGTGTGAATGGTTTGTTCTTGTCTTTCTCCAAACTGTGTTTTGAATGTGCCAGGATACTAGGCTTGGGTTTTCTTTGTTTACTTATTTAGAAGATATATACAGCTGCCCATCTTAAGTATACAACTCCAGGAGGTGAACAATACCAAAAAAAAAAAAAGAATAATTTTGGGAAAAAATCCCTAACCCATTAAAATAGCACTGTTCAAAGAAGAAACAAATAAATAACTGCATAATAATTCTATAAGCACACAAATATATTTATCTCTCCTAGTAAGAATAAGAAATAAATATTGGGCAATATAAAGATCAATTGCTTCTTCCACATATTATTCTTATATATAAGGCATCACAAAACACATTCTGAAATAATTTGCAGTTTTGACTGTTCTAATAGAACTTCATTGATTGTAAATTTATCTAGACTGACTAAAGTAAAATTATAATAATAGAGAACCACGTTCCCTAAAAGAAATCTTGGAAGTTGTCAAGCTATACAATGTATATCCAGAGGAGAATATTGAGATGTTTACTGGACTTTGATAACATTTACAAAAACAAAAATTATGTGTAGGAGGCCTGGCTAAGTATGGTTGGCAACATACAAGGAGTTATGGCAAATATGCAAGCATTTTTAACAGTAGATAAGTTCTTGTGAGAAGCATTCCTGAATGTTGAAAGTATAAAAATCAGGACATTCTGTTCTCAGATTACAAGATACTCAGGATGCTTCTTGGCAGAACACGTGAGGCACCAAGTATACCATTTAGTTGAGAAACCAGGTGCTGCAACTTCAGGAAGTCTATAAAAGTGCAATTGTGTGTGTATGTGTATTCCTGTAATGTCCATAAGAGCGAGATGGACAGCGAACAAATTTAATAATAAAATAAAAGCATGCAAAATATGATTTTAGACAGTGAAGAAGGTCATTAATTCCACCTTTTGAATAGAATGTTGAGTGCATTTTCTCGTTAAAAAGTAATCTAAACTTATTTTCTTTCTTCCTTTTTATTGTAGGAAACTGAGCTTTTGACCATGGAATTTGATGAGACCGAATTGAATGAAATGTTGAAAAAACTTTCAGAGATTGAAGATAGCATTATTTCTCTGACCCAAGCATCCTGACTTTTCACTTAAAACAGTGTTTGATTCATACTAAGGTTAACCTTAGTTACACATGTAGATTATCCTGGACATCATACTATTCTTTCAGCAGTGTTTGAAAACTTATATATAAACATGGGATCAAAGAGGAGGAAAAAAGATAACGGAGGCATTCAAACTGATGTACATATTAAAACAAAAGAACATAGCTGAATTCATTGAAAGAAAATACTCCTCCAGAAAAATGTTGAATTTTTATAATAAAAGAGCAAATATATTCACCTTTTCCATTACTGACATTACTGTGTGATTTATTCATCCAGCCACTGAAAAGCAATTTGTAGCAATGGCTGCTGTACATTTGTAGATCCAGGAGAGGGAATTTCATTAAAAAAATATTTTGCTTTATTTTGCTTTATATTTTCACCAGTTCAAAATGGGTTGTTACTTGAGGAAAATGAAACAGTAGTGTATTTTAGTTTTTTCCATTTCTGTAGCACAAAACCTAGCTATAGACACTGTAATAAAAGGTGGTCATTTTAAAAAAAAGCTATATAAAGTTCACTAGCAATAGAGAGTAAATACTGTATGTATTCACAAGCATTTTCAGCATTAACTGTTTCATTATCTCAGAAGTATGGTATTGAATACTACAGGACTTATTGAAAATGCAGAGTATATGGACAAAACATTAAAGAGAAATGGATATCACCTCTAGAATGTCTTAATGCTTATAATCTAAATTCTTTTATGTCAAACCACCTCCTTCTTCCCCTCAGTTTTCTTCTGCTATTTAACTTGGCCCTCTGTAAAACAGATCATATTTTTAAATGTTGCCTTAGAAACTAGCCTTGAAATGTTTCTTCCAGAATATGTGACGATATAGCTATTGAGTTTTTTTAATGTCTTGTCTACCAGGCTATCTGTACAGTTTCTTCTTTTATACCAAGCAGTCATATTCCTATGTGGTTTTTTTCAAAAACCATAGTATCTACCCTTATTATTATGCATTATAAACTAATGCTTTCTCAAGTGAGCTTCTTAGTTATCTTTGTGCATAGCTTAATAAAAGCTGCAATAGGTCTTTTTAGAAAATCAGTAACTATGGCTGTACAAAAAATAACAAATATCTATCAAACTCAACTAATTTGCAGTAGTTTTATCTATTATTGTCATTTGGTCCTATAAACACTGTAATCAAGCTCATTAAAGTTATAATTAACATTAGAGAAATATACAGTTCTTAAAGAATCATGTGTTGCATGTATTTACCATACACATATGTTCTCATGACATTATTAAATGGCTTCTTGACTATTTGTAGAAATCCGAACATAAAATAACTTTACACTTCTAACTGCCCTTCTTCAGCTTGTTGTCCTCCAAAGACCTTCAGATTACATGCCTCAGAATTTCCAACCAGTTACAAATTACAACCCCAAAGGCAGGTGGTTAGAGAAAGTTCTTTTAAAGCATAATATTTAGCCTCTGTTCAAAATACAGTTACATTGTTTACATAGGTGTTATTTTAATTTGGTTTCATACAGAGTTGTATTAATTAAGGTGATATACTTCTGATTTGTGTGGTTACTAGTGAATATGGATATAAAATGGAAGTTTTCTGTATATTGTTTTGAGGTAAGAAATTAGCTTTTTTTATTTATCTGAATCTTGGAAGTTAAAACCTCATTGCATTCTTCATCTCTGTTATTTTTTAAATATGTTGTCTATTCCAATACTGATATCATTGCGTGGTTTATTCATCCAGTCACTAAACCTTGTGTTCCTACATTACTTCCAGTTCATTGTCACCATAGTGTGTCCTGGTCCTATCAGCCATAGGAGTGACTGTAAAACAACTTTATATTGAGCTATTCTGTAACTTTAATTTTTTAATTTTCTGAATATTTTCAGATATTCAGGGAGGGAGGGAGAAGGAAGAAGGAAGGAAGGAAGGAAGGAAGGAAGGAAATATCCAAACCTCAGTTTTTAGCCTATAATAATAGGCCTCATTATTATGTATTGAAATACCAGTTATTTTTGAAATCCTATCTGCAAGATAATTTTTGGTCTATTTGTTGTTGTTGTTGTTATTATTATATGAAGTATGTCTTTGATTTCTCTCCTTCTAATGGTAGAATCATGTCTATCTTGTGTTCTGTATAATCATGCAAATATATTTAAGTTTCAAAACATTTATCAGTCTTCTACATTTAAAAAAAACTATTTTTAATTTGTTCAGATACAGTTCCCGAAGTTCACGCATGTATTTTTCCTGGACATTTGCTTGATTTTTTCCTCTACTTCCTGGAATTTTATATGGGTGTATATTCTAAATATTTAGAAAGAGTAGCTTAATTTAGCCTAGGACAGTTATCGTTATTCACATAGAAAGCCTTTTAAGGAGATAATTTAACATGGCAATAGCAAGATTTTGGGTAAGCCACTGTCCTTTTCCAGAAGCCAAACTGGAACTGCATTTCTCCATCATATTATGGTGAAGAAAGGTAGTGTGAATGTTTCTAATTTTGAAAAAAAATGTGTATTAGATGGGTGGAATAGACTTGAAGATAAATACAGGCAGTTGTATAAATAGAGAGCACAGTATATATAGAGTATAGACAGACAGACAGACAGCTTCTAAACAGAAACAAATTAGGAACTACATTTCCGCTCCATGCTACACTTGTGAACTTCTGGATGCACCTGGCTAACCAATTATTTTAAATACAGTATTTGCTTAAACGGAAGTATCTTGCTATGATTTAATTCAGCATTCTGTGTGCAGTGATCCCTATTTAAAGTTTCTGGATGCTATTTGAAAGAAATTGAACTACCCCTTAATCATTCTGTTTGCTTCATATAAATTCCTATAGTAAGGGCCATTCTAATTTCTGGATTTCTGCTACTTCCAAGAAAGCAAAAATCTACTTCCAAGAAAACAAATATATTTTCCAGTGCTGCTTGAGGAAGTTTGGGATATGTTGAAAATTCTTGACTGAATGGTTGAAAGCACACATATACACACAAAAAGTGTGGGTCTAATCCCATGATGTGAGAACTTTACTGATATGCCACGGTTATTTCTTCCCATACTGAATTTGGATAATATCTCTTCCCCATCGTTGAATTTCATGCAGTTTATTCTTTTAAAAGAAGGATTAGATTTTTGGAAATTGGTGATGCCACTTGGCTGTTACTCCTGATCTTTCCTCAGGTTCTTCCCATGTATATTTACCAGGGCCTAACTCATGCTCAAGGTTTTTGGGGACCTAAAATGATCATCTGCCTGGATCTCTATTAGTTTGCCCATACACAGATGAGCTGAGACCTAGGGCTGGCTTCTGCCAATGGGCATGAACTGCTGCCCTTTATTGCAGGCATTGTTGTTGACCTTGGCAAACTGCTAGGCATCTTCTGCTTAACTCTGTTTTTCTGCCAGTGCTGTTAAGTCAAGCTGTTCCAGCTATCGCCCACAAGTGTCTCTTGCAATTGCCGATACTCTCCACATCCATTCTTCAAGTATCCTACAACCATACCCATCTTACATCCTATTCAGCTTTTATGGGCTGCCTGTCCAGGTGGAGAAAGAATCCTGGAGCAGACTGAAGGAGGACCATCTGCATGTATAGATGGGCTAAACTGCACCAGTCCCAATTCTTTGGCAGGTCCAAATCTCCATTGGCCCTAGAGAGTGACTGAAAAGAGCTCTGTAAATAATTTGGGGAGGAGACCTCCAGAAGTGCATACCCATGAACAGGCTAATGAATAGATCCTCAACTATTGCCAAGTACTTGCCCTGCCAGCAAGAGTGTGGATAGAGGCTGTGCTACAGCTATGGCTCCACATAAATTTATCCCAGCACCTTTGTTTGTCGTCTCATTTCAAAGGATGCTTTCATTGCTCCACTCTTTGGAAGTTGACTAAAAATAGAAGGCCAGAATAACACTGAATCAAGGGGAGACTTTGTCTCAGAAGAAATACGGGCTGATCTGAATGTTGCAGTTAGCTTTTCATATAGCTTTTATTCTGAAGTATATTTTTATAATATCCTTTTTGGATGCACTTATTCAACCTTTTGTCTCTTTCCCCCCCAAAAAAACCCTCAAGACATCCCAAATTCACAGCATCTGAAGCTTTTTAAATTAAAAAATACAAATAAAATAAAGACTTTATGGTTTAAGTCCTTCTGGTATACTCTCTATATTCATTTTCAAACAAAAATACGGCAAAGGGTACATCAAATATTTATCCTTGGAAATTAAAATAACATGCAATGCAATAAGATTCCCTTTACAATTTAATTGCTTCCAGCAATTGGTAAGAGATTCAGATGCACAAGAAAACAAAGAAGAGAAAGGAGAATAGACGTCATCTGAGCAAAAGTCAAAAGTCGCAGGTTTAAAAACAAACAGTTTTTTGTTTTTGGGAATGATAAAGAATGATTAAGTAATAAAGATAACAAAGAGCAAGAACAGATATAGAGAATAGAAGGAAAGGACTGCAGAAGCTGACAGAAGATAATAAAGTGGCCCAGATGGGTACTTGAAAACTCTTGCCCAGTTTTCAATCCAGCAAGTATTACATGACTTCTACTGAGTTTTAAAAGAAACTCCAATTAGTTTGAGAAGTGTTGACTGTCAACTGTATCAGCCCTAAACTGTATCAGATTGAAAGATGCTGAAACATTGATGCGCAAAATATAAGACAATACTCCATGCTTGGATTTGGTTTGGTTGGTTAAACTAATTTTTAAATTGCATTTGATACTTTTACTTGAAAAAGAATGTTTTCTGATTTTTCATTGGTAGGATCTTCTAATGGTATGAAGGATTGTTGCCGCTATTTGAGGGACATTTATACAGTATACCTGTTCTATATTATTTCTAATGTAACCATCTGTAGAACTGTTGTCTTGCTAGTTTGAAGAGATATTGTTTCCAGCTTCAATGTTTGCATTCATCTTTCTAGAACATGGCTTTTGTTGAGTCATATTTTTTCATGTTACATTAAAGACAAGACCTTGAAAATACATATTTCCTTTTCATCAGTTCTGCCAATTTAGTGTTTGGCCCTTCCCCATGAGAAGTGGGGAAATGCTTAGTTAAAACATTACTAGAAGATGTAAGTAAGTAAAATGTAGGAAGGTAAGAGATACACCATTTAAGGCAACATGTTTAGCTATGTGACAGAATGCATCCCCTTGATATGTATGCACAGAAAGTCAGCTGGCTGTGATGGAATAGGGAGTGATATCTGGATACAGACTGGTCAGCCAGATAGGAAAATCAGGGGGATTTCTAGTTGCTCACATAACTAAAATAACCCACATTTTTGTATTATCCCTTCATAATCTGATGATTATCCATGTTAAAAATGGAAAGTATTTTTCCAGTCTATGCTCCAGTAAGTGACATGCAACTTAATCATTAATCCATGTTTCAGTTTAATATTTTTCTTTGAAATGTTCATTCATGTTCATTTTAGGATCTTTCTAAGTGAATTTTTCATCAAGTCCCATCACTTTCACCAATGATTTCTCCATTGTTGCAATCAACATATACAAAAATACAATTATTTTATTCTTCTTATTAGCGTAATAAATTTATCTTGGGACTGGTACTGGAATTCCTGTAGCCCAAGTCTTGGGAGGCTTCATTCTTCATGCACTGGCTGGGTAGTCTGTTGGCTCAAAATTTTATGACCTCCATAATGGTCTTGTTTTAAGTATTAACAACTACATATTAACATATGTAAATGGAAGGATACTGGATCTTATTTTTATTTCAGAGTGGATGAAATATTCTTTGGAAGACATTGACACCTTCCTTGCGATATTTATTTACAACGCAGGGTTGCTTACAAACATTAAAACTAGCACAAATTAAAATAATAAAACAATAAATAACAACAACAATAATAAATATCATTAAAATAGGGAGGGGAACACAAAGCACAGAGAGAGGTGAGGTTTTTCCTAATCTAATAGCCACCTCCAGAATGGTGCACCCCCTTTGGGGTCCTAGGCCAATTAGCAAAGGACTTCAGGCCCTTGTGAAAGGTCAGAAGGGTGGGTACAGATCTAACCTTGGGGGGGGGAGGTGTTTGCACAATGATCCAAAGGGCATGAGCCATACCAGAAAACGCTTTTCAGCTGAAAATCCCTGACTGACATGGCCTGCAGCAAGCCTCCTCTGCCGGCACAGGGGAAGTGAACAAATCCCTTTGGGGTGAGACAATTCTTCAGATAACTAGAAGTTAGACGTGATGAAGTTGCTTTCTGATTAAACTGTAGATTGAAAGGCAGTCAATCCATTAGACAGTCCACCCAGGATTGAATCCTTAAATTTCCACAGGGTTCTTGGGATTCTCTTGCTAATTTGGCAGACAGGTCTGTGCCTGATTGAAGTCTGGAATACAGAGATGACTAATACATTGGATGAAATTGCTCCTGCAAGGTTTTTTCATATTTGCTGATCCTAAGGAGCCACCTGATGCTTGGATGATTTTTGAGAGATTCAGTGGCTGAAAAGACTATTTCAACAACTTTGTCCTCTATGTGGTTCTTGGTGGCCCGTGACTTGATGATCCTCGTTGCTCATAGTTTCTACTTGAACAGCAGGTGGAACCTATTATCAAGGGAGACTTTCCACAACTTTGACCAGTATGCTAATTCTAGCCTTATCAATGCCTGCAAGCCCTGGGTTGTTTGCACCCTGATTACTGCAATCACTATGTGGAATTGTGTTAGAAGAAAATTTAAAAGCTGCAACTGGTGCAAAAGGTGGCAGCCCAGTTAGCTAAGAATATCTATAGCAGAGATACAGCCATCTTGAGGTTACTGCATTGCCTTTCAGTAGGCTTCTCCATTCAATTTAAAGTGCTGGTTGTAACTTATAAAGCTATGTATGTATGTATGTATGTATTTTATATAGGAAAATTTACATGATCACCCAACTCACTTCCAGTGACTCCAGATGGCTTACAAGAGTAAAATACCAATATAAAAACAATACAAAAAGCTATACAATATAATACAAAAGTAATACAAAAAAAAGCAATAACCCCACCCTCAGCCCCTTAGTGACAACAATCAAACAAGCCACTTGATGGGCTCCATATCATTCTTGGGTCCCCAAACTCATTGCATGTTTTCAGGGCCTTGCAAAAGAGTGTCAAAATTGTTGGATGCTTATC